CCGCCGTATCGGCGGCTGCGCACACCTTGAGCAGGTCGCGCGTCATGTAGGCCTGGGCGAGGGCCAGGGGGCTGCCGCGGGTGCCGATCTTGACCGTCTTGGTGGCAGTCGCCGCCTGGCACACGACACGCATGCCGCGGCGCACCACCACGACGGGCCTCGTGGCGCTCCTGCATGGAGACAAACAGAACGATATGCCCGATCGGAATCCATGCCGGACGTCAGGGGTCGATTCACGCGAAGCAATCACAACAATCTGGGAATGCAGCAGGCCGAATGGCTGCTGCCGCACTCATTGCCTCCAGCACTGCTATGATGAATTCAATGCTGAGTTTCGAAGATCCCCGGCACCTCTGCATGACCGAGCAGCCAGCCGAACGCTTCAGGCACTGCTGCATCTTTGCTGCTGGTGGTCGCGACCTAGTTCAGCGATCAGAAAGAACGGCTGCAAAATCGTGATGCGCGATAACGACCACGAGCGCCACAGAGAGACCCCGGATCTTATGCACACTTGCTTTGTAGCACTGGCAGCCGAGCAGGTTCTCATCAGTCTCGGAGGCGGATGGACGAGAAACCCGCCAGATAGGTGGCCACGAAGATTAACGACACGCGAGTCGCAGGATGCTATCACGTGTTGGAGCGCGAGGCCAGGTACCACTCATTACCCACGGTGCATGGGTACGGTACGGTCCAACTGACTGACAGCGCCGTGGTGATTCAGGCATCCGCCAGCCTCTTGCGAAGCCAACAAAATCAACCACACCGCTGCAATTCATGTGGAAGCAATACGTGCGACGCATGCCAGCGGCCCCCCCTCCCCAAAGCTGAGTTTGCAACTGCGCTCGCCATATTTTTAATGGGGCCTGCTCAAGCTATCCACTTGCCACTCAGTGCAAGCGTGATGCCGCTCGCACACCGTATTGTACAGAGGCATGTCAACTGGTTGTATGTATGCGAAGCTGGCCCCAATTTGCCCGCCCTAGGGACTGCTGCCGGCTGCCCATTGCCTTGCATGCCGGACTAGCCACATGTAAGGTGGCTCAAGCCTCAAGGCATGGTCTCACATGGATGGTTTTGTGATACAGTATGTAGGAGCCCGTGTGTAAGAGCCCAACCGACAAGAGAGGGGCATGGGGTATAGAGCACAGAGGCGGAGGGCGTGGGGCAGGGCGTCGGGCAGGGGGGGATTAGGCACTCAAAGAGTGCCAGCGCTGCACGGCACTTTCGTCGGTGCCGCACCAGCTCATTGTTCTGGCAGCAGAACATTTGATGCCCTTATGAGACTGTCGTTGCTTACATCCCGCGATTTGGTGTCACTTGGTCTGATACTTTACCGTAGGTTTGGTCACCACGGACATAGAGCCCGTCCGAACGCCCCGAGGGCGCCACGCGACCCAACCAGTGAAAGTGGTATCAAAAATGATGATTGCGAGTGGATCATCGCTGTTTGAGAGGGCCGTGCTGCCTGCAGCGCCGCCGCTGCCTGCATCGGCGTGGGCACGAGCTTCCTACACGGCGAAGAATTCGGTGGGTACGCCGGCTTGAGCGCAATTCCAAACGTCTTCATTGTCATGTGCTAATCCAGGCCGTTGCAGCCGCCATACACCACTTGCCGCACCGTCCCGCCCGCCTCGCTGCAGGCGTGGGCTGCCGCGTCGCAGCTGCAGGCAGCCGGCCCCGAGGTGCAGCTGCTGCAGGCCGCGGCGGACCCCCAGATGCCGCTGGCCGCGATGGGCCAGCAGGTGGGTCAAAACTGCAGCTGATTGCCGCCGTCCGCCGCCGCTGGGGCGCTCCCCTCGTCAGCCCGGCCCCGCCCCGCCCCGCCGCACCAAGCGCCGTCCGCCAGGCCCGGCCGCCCCCACACGGCTTCGTTTTCCTGCGGCCCGCAGGCGCGCGCCGCCATCGACGTCGCGCTGCCCGCCACCGGCGCGCTGCTGCTCCGCGGCCTGCCGCTGCGCGACCCTGCCGCATGCGACGCCTTTGTGGACGGCCTCGGCTTCACCAAAATGGCGTATGAGCCGTTTGGTGTTCCCCGCAAAAAGGCAAGAGGGGTGGAGATCCAGCGCCGCGTTTCCGGGGTCAAGGCAGCTCATCGCCGGCGGGACTGGGGCACCGACGGCTCGTGTCGGCCGCCGCGCGGCTGCGGCAGGCACGGGCTCAGGGCGCCCAAATGATGTTGCCGTGGCGGCCGCTGAACGCGCACGCATCAGCAGGTCGTCGCGCTCAACCCTGCCTCGCACTGCGAGATGCTGGCGGCATCCCCCGCTCGCCAAATGGTCACACTTTCACTTACTCTGACCAGGATCGTTACACGAACGCGCGCGCACGTGCGCGCGCGCGCACACACACACACACACACACACACACACACACACACACACACACACACACACACACACGCGCGCACACACGCCCCCCTGGCCTCCGCCCAGATCGGCACCTTGGACGCAGCCACAAACATAGGCGCCCAAGAGCTCCTGGACCTCCACAACGAGATGACATACAACCCGCGGCCCGCCTTCAAGATCCTCCTGATCTGCATACACCCCGCCGCCGTGGGCGGCGACAGCCTTGTCGGAAGCACAGCAGAGGTCACGGCAAACGTGCCGGACTTTGTGGTCGATCGGTTCGAGCGCCGCGGCGGCATAAAGTACAAGTGAGGGTCTGTTGTTGAGCGGCGGTGTACATGAACGCGCTCGTTGCAAACATGATGGGGGTGGGGGCAGGGGCTTGCTCAGGCGTTGCCATGAACGCACACGCGCGCCGCGCGCGCGAGGGTGAGCGGATGCACCTGAAGGCAAAGAGGGCCGCATGAGCACGTGAATCGCGCAGCATTATTGCGCATCACCCTCCACATGCCACCTGCTTCCTCCGCACACACCCCCTTGCAAACCCCTGCATCACGCATCAAACCCGCCCGCGTGTCCGCTGATTTGTAGCGCAACCCCCTCCCCTCTGGTCCCGGCCCGTGGTGCCGTCGCCCCCCGCCTCCCCCCCCCAGGCGCACCTACTCCAACGCCGACTTCCCGGCCGGCCCCGGCAATTACATAATGAGCTGGCAGGAGCGCACCGGTGCACGCGACCGCGACGCGGCGGCGGCGCATTTCCGCAGACTGGGGATGACCGTGGACTGGGCCGGGGAGCGCGGGGACGAGCTGGTCGCGTGGAACGTGCAGCCGGCGGTGGTGTGTCACCCGGTGACGGGGGAGCGGCTGTGGTTCAACCTGGCGCAGCACCCGGCGCCCGGTGAGGGTGCGCCGCGGGGGAGAAGGGCTGGCCGCGGGACGCCGGTTGCGGGGCCCTAGCACGTGGCGGCTGGCGCAACGGACTTGGCTGCTGCTGCGTTTTATTTGGGAATTGGTTTGGCGAGTGCATTTTGCGGTTGCCTTGGTGCGTTCGGGCCGCATCCCTCCGCTCTAGATTGGTGCCCGCCGAGGCGACTGCCGCGCCCCTCCGCTGCGACAGGCATGATCACGTACGCCGACGGCAGTGACATCGAGGATGACACCGTCGAGGCGATCTGGGCCGCGCGGATGGCGGCCACGCGGTACGTCCGGCTGGACGCGGGTGACGTGCTGGTCTTGGACAACTACAGGTGACGCCCGCTGGGGGTGACGCCGGTGACGCCGGAGGCACCGGTTATGCCGGTGACGCGGGAGGCACCGGTTACGCCGGTGACGCCGGTGATGCTGGTGATGCAGGCGACGACCATCACGTTCCTGCTATTCTGTGGCTTGCCATGTCCCGGCATGCGTGCTTGCATTTTTAATGGCGGTCCCTGGCGCCGAGCCGGATCCTGCTCCCAGGGGGTGCCCCGCCTGCGCACCCACATTCTCCCAGATGTCCCATCTCGTATCTCAACTGGCCCGCGC